CAGATAAGCTTCGAGGCTGGTGAACAAGGAGGCACAACCAGACTTCAAGGCCATCCGCACCCCAAATCAGAGATACATACTGACAACCACATCAAGCACCAACACAGCACAGAATGAGAGACTCAGGTGTAAGCAATGATCTATGTCTCACATCCATCAACAGCAGATAACACATGCAAATGCAGACCATAGCACATGTCTGCAATGAGTTACATTATCTACTAACACAATAGAAGCACAATAATACCAGTGGTGAAAATAAAAATAAAGTTTCACTTACCACTGAAAGTGCTGAAGGCAGTGAGTGTGGGAGTTGAAGCATGTGTGGATAACATCCTTCCAGTCATTACAGCACTTGTAGGTAATGTTTCTCTCAAAAGGTCAGCTGGACCCCTGGCTACGCAACTGACTGGTCCTTCAGTGTGTAAAGCATGACTTATTGATGTTCAGTAAAAACGTTTAAAGATTTCATAGAAAGAATTGGAAACGTTCAAAGTTGGGTCATTTTTGGTGTAAACTGAACCAGTGACCAGTGAAAACATTCCACAACACTCCAGCCAGGCTCTGTCCTCACACAGGAGCCTAATTTAACCACATATATGTGTAACCAGACGTGGTGTGGTTGGTGTGGAGGACGAGAGGTGTTGCTCTCGGCTCTCTGCCTCGACTGTTTTCCTTGGGTGGTGCAGCAACTCGCCTCCCTGTGGGTTCAGACTTCACAGAAACATTTAAACGACTATTTTTAAGTCTGTTAGCTCTCAACTCACTGTTGGCGGCTTCTCTCTCATCAAGACAGCTTTTCGTGCCAAACATTTTGGCATTACGCATGCTCACTCGCTACCGTGACATAGTGGGACACTTTGTGCAGCCTTTGTTGAAGTCCCCCTCCAGTCACAAAAAGTTTTTCCCCTTGTTCCTACAGTTGGATGTTTGAGCTTTCACTGTGCAGAATAAAATATTTGAAGAGTTTGACAGTAGTAAGAGGTCTTCACATTCATCTGCTGAAAGTGGAAAGTTTCTCTGTGCTGGCTGAAAAGCTGATTTTTAAGGGGCGGGGCCTACACAAGCATGATTTGTGACATTACAAATAGTTTGGAAGTCAATAGATCAGAACAGGCATACGTCATTTCTTGTCCTCACACCGACCCCCCCAGAAGAAGCGCTGTAAAAGTGTCTAGTGGCACTATGCCTAAAAGCTTCTGCGTTGCATTCTGCACGTCAAACGATAAAAAGTTCAAAAAAGTCAAGTTTACGACTTTTCTTTACTTCCCCAAAGAATGATGGACAGTAAAAGAAGCATCTGTGGCTTTGGGCCATCCGCAGAGAGGATAAAAAGGGTAAACTGAGGGACCTGGACAGTCAATATGTGTATGTCTGTGGCAAACACTTCATCACAGGTTAGTTAATGATGTTACTGAGTAAATGATGTGTGTGCCGATTGTAACTGTGGATTGAACTGAATCAGAGGAGAGTCTTAGTGATGGTGTAACTTTAGTTTTTACTGTGAAGAAATATGGCCCTACTATAAAACACCCGCTTTTAGATTAGATTTAGTTTGACAGTGTGGAGCAGAGGGTATTTTGACCTCAATAATTCACATAAACTGAGCTGACCTACCTTCTAATAATGAACCTTGTAAGCAGCATAAACTAACGAAGGAAGTGAAAGCTAAAACTGACGTGTTCTACTTCTCTTCCCTAGTAAAAGGTCACTTAATAAACACAAACGGCAGTTCTGCTTCGCCACAGCAATATAATTTGTTTACAGTAATGTCACATTGGACAGACGACCAAAACAGAAAAATAAAGTTTATTAACAACAGAAACGGTGTCAAATGTCAGAAGTATGACATTCAGTAAGGTAGTTGTATATGTCAGGTCTGTCCACTTTGATGGAGGCAGAAATAGTTGTTTGCATGGCTGGCCAAAGGAGTTCTGGTCTAAAAAGCAAAATTGTATTCTTATTTTACGGTTAAAACGATCATAATTCGCATTCATCGCCAGTCAAATCAGAGGAGGTGCTTTTTCTAGAAGGGGGTGGGGGCCCTTAATGCAAGGCCAAAGTACCTGGGCGGGCTGCTGTCATCTATACTGGTCCAATTTGCAGCTTATACAGGTGTGATGAAAGTTGAAGCGTCCAGTTCACAAACACTGAGAATGGACTTTACAGTGAAGCAGGAGACATCTTGTCTCCAGCAGGAAAACTTTAGAAATGCATTAAATTTGCATATTCACAGAATCTGGAATTATTTAGTGAGGTAGAAGGAGAAGATGTATTTTAAAGGATTTTAATGTGGAAATTCTTTTTCTGGTGGAAAAAAACACATCAGACACACATTATTGTTCTAAGCAGACGATTTTGTATTTATGTCTTAATACATGTCCAGAAGGGATAGATATAGTCAAAATGTCTGCCATGAAAAGGGTCTATTTATTAGACCTCATCTCTCCAGTGAATCAAATTTAAGTTTGCTCCAGCTTTTCTTCCATTCATAACAACACAACAGGGCTAAAAACATACAGTATTTAGGATGAAAACATAAAATAACGTATGTTATAATATAATATATTGACGATACTGTATGATTACAAAGGATGTAAAGCATAGTTTCAGTTTTTTAAAGTTGTATATGCACAGTGTTGTATAAGATAGCTACAAATATATAACCAAAAATATCTATATATATTTATTACCAACAGACTTTTTTCACAGAAGCCATTTTGATATCAAATAGTTTTTTGTATTTAATATTCTTTATTTGTTTAATTGTGATCCTTTACAGTAGAAAATATGGGATGAACAAACAACTTTATAGGGTATTGTAAATCCCCACCACCCCATCCCATCCCACAATAATAAGTAATAATAATATTAATGAAGGTAAGTATTATGTAAAAGAAAAATGGCTCAGAGAATATCTTAAAGTATATATCTTTTAATTTTCGTATAACATTGGTTTTTATGTTTCCTCTTTCATCTCACATCAAACAAGTTATTCCTATATTCTTAATCCTGTGATTTATGGTCTCCATTTTATAGTTTTGGTAATTGTGTCTTTCCATTTGCTCACTTGTGGTGGCTCTGGTTTCAGCCAGGTTTTTGTTATCTACTTAAGTGCTGCTGTTCTTAAAATTCTAAAGAGATAATTATCATTTTGTTGAGAGAGCGGCTGTGGTATTCTACAAAGTAATAATAGCTCGAGCCCCAAATGGAGTTCACGCTGAAAAATTGAATCCATAACTTTGCTCATTTCAGTCCAATATTGCTGCAAACTGGACAGGAAAAGAAATGATTGCGGTTGGCTTCTACCTCGCCACATTTTCCCCAGCAACTTGCTGTTGCCTCCTTAGAGTACTTTGCTTGAATAACAGGTTTTATTGTTTAGACATGAAATAGTAGGGTAAACACAGGTGTTAGCAAAGATACTAATTAAGGCTCTGTTCCATTTAGTGTAGCATAGAGTCTTTTCGGTGAGCCAACAAACACAATAGCAGCACCCTGAGTCTGTTGGACCTGAATTGAACAGAACTTTAATTAGTATGATTGGAAACACCTGTGTTTACCCTACTATTTCATTTTTAAAATGGTTGCTGTGAAAAAGGTCTGCCATTCAGTTCTTCCATGTCATTCCACAACTCCCGCCAAAGCCCCCTCCATTTAGAAACGTACTCACAGTGTTTGTTGGGTGCAATTCACTGCTCACTTTCATGTTTTTCCACGAGTACACACAGTAGTTCTTGTTTGCTGAAGTCTGATAAAATGCTTTATTTGTAGTTTAAACACTGGGTCACAAGGGATATTATGACCTATAATCTTACCCAAGGATGTTGTAACATTTTCCCAAAAGACCCTTTATTATTGCATAATCCCAGTCCATGTGGAAAATGGTGCCATCAAGTCAACTGTACCCATATTATATAATTTGACAGGAGTGAGATATACTCTATTTATAAAGTTATATACCTCCCAAGAATAATTCAAGTTTTCATTTTCAAGTGAGTCTACGAGCAGTACTGTTGCCATGTATTTCCTAGATATCTAATTTTGCACTACAGCATACTGTTTGAGCCAATGTTCTTTGTGTTTTCCCATCCCTGGCTTTGTAATGAATATCCTTATTTATATCTACATCTGACGTGATAAAACAATCTGTAAAATACATCCTAAAGTAATGCAGCATTCAAGAACAGTTTGATTGCTTAAGTTATCAGGCCGTGGTATGGATTTCTTCTCACTCTACTGCCACTATGGTTCTCTCCATTTATTTCACATCCATTTTCTCTGGGTTGTTCAAATTTAATACTAATAAATTGGACATCTTACAGTAAGTGGATGAAGACGAGGTAATATAAGTGGGCTAACTAACCAACTAAATAAATAATCATAAAAACTGAACCCATACTGATACTTAAACTGACCTGCATGAGTAAGATTATAAAAAACTGGATTTGTCCTCAGTGATGACTCAAACTGACTATGATGTGTGATTACAACAGCACTTTGGGAAAAAATAGACAGTTCATTACAATAACTGTGTACAACACTACATAACTGTGTTACTTCAGATGTATTTATCTTCACATTGTGCATTTTCTTTGCAGGCTTTTGTTTAAGAAACAACACCAGGACAATGTGTTTGATGTTAAAAGCTGCACTTATTTAGCTTCTAAAGAGAATATAACCCACAACAGCAGAGCAACCCAATTACAGAGGTTACAAAAGCATACTGTACATAGCCCTCAAGTCGGTAATGCAGACTATACAGGAGGTATGTATATGTGATATAATGGCTTAATTATGCACAGCAGCATATTTGGGGGTGTGCTAAAACTCATTTTACTAAATGAGAAAATTATTCTTTTGGGCTTGCATTCTCAGAGTACTAAACTTTAGTACTGCATCTTGAATCTGGTATTATGGCAAAACGTAAGGGTACGAGGGAGGACAGAGGACCATTAATTCACTATGCAGTACAGATAAATAAAAAGAAAAAAACAGCATTTAATTTCCATTGTTTATTAAGATATAAAGCGGGCACATGAATACAAGAAACGTGTGCACTAGTAAGTCAGCTCTCAATAACAAAAAATCCACAGCAAAGTAGTTTGATACCACTCAAGATTCAAATCCAAACTCAAATACAGCAAAAGACAAACTGTGAGGAAAAACGTACTGAAAAACACTCAATATGCTTGGTTCTACAGTTCCACCTGTCAAATAACCATACATACCCATCCTGCTATAGTTCACAGATGTCAAACGAGCAAAACAAAGATTCAGCCCCAAGACTAAAGCAGCAGGATTTCAAAACCTCACTGTGCACCAATGCACCACTATGCAGGAAAATACTACGTACGACCAGAAAACAAGCTGCACAGAGCTACTCATCCCACAGTTGTTACCTGAAGTAAAAAAAAAAAAATTAAAAAATGTTTTTCCTGTTTAATTTTAAAGCTCCAACACCTGGGAACGTATTTCTTCCTCTATTTTCGTATAAAGACTGTGCATGACATCTTGATTAGTGTTCAAGCTTAAGGACAAGGAATACAAACAATAAGCAAGAGTTTAAAGTCGGTGAAATCCCCTCCTCTCTTCGCCTAAGCTGTGGAGAGAAAACATATTGATCCCTCAATTTGGACACGCTCGTGGATTGTGGAGGTGTTTGGTCTCATTGACAGTTAATGAAGCTTGTCGGCTTTGGAGAGCACCGACACAGGGTCTACTCATTGTTTAGCCCACTGGGTTCTCCCAGACTCTAAGGAGTTGAGGCTTATTTACAAAGTTTGCCTGAACTGGGTGGATCTGTGTGCCTTAAGTGTAGGAACGAGCACATAGGGGGAAAGAGAGGTTGTGTTACCTCTGGTTTGCTGCATGATGTGAACATGAAAAAAACATCAAGAAAATAAAACTTGAGATGCTTAAATTATAAAGAAATGACATTTACCCATCCAAATGCTAAAGGGGATACAAAGTCTTTAGTCAGTTTAAACTTATTGGATACGGTTTATAGTGGCATAACAAAGTATGTATAAAGTTATAAAAATGCAGGCACACGTGGAAATATATTGACTTTGGTTCTGAACCAAAACATATTTAAAATCTTACCAGTTAGCCCAGCACATCCAAATGAACTACAGTTATTGCTCCTGTTAAAACAAGGCAGTTGAGATTTTGCATAGCTGATATTTGCAGTACAGAAGGTATTTTGCCATAATTATAGTAGAAACACCAGAGACCCCACAGTATTACTATAAAACTGGTTAGAATACAAAATAATCAAAAGCCTCTTGGAATTAGTTATCGCTATGAAATCCACTCCACTTCCTCCTGTACACAGGAAAGAAGAAATGTACAAAATGCCTTTAATCCAGTTGCTTTCCCTCTAACTGTATTTTCCAGGGAAGAGACAGTTAATTCTACACACTAGAGCAAATGTGAACTTATTGAATAGAAATTAGGCTGAGTAGGAATATAATAATAGGTCAAACAGACAAGCCGTCTATGCAAAGGCAGAACAAATATGATAAAACCTTTTCTTTTTGATAGAATGACGAGCTCTATCTATATATAAACTCATTGGTCAATATTTTATGTTCTCTTGAATCAAAAAACAGGGGCCTCTAGATGCTATCCATGGCTTTAAACTCGCTGAGAGCCTGCACAGGGTTGATATGCTTCTTGTGAGAAGATCTCTTGACTCTGTTGGTTTGGCCATCATCCTGCTTCTCTCTCTTCACCAGAGGTTTCTTCTCAGGCGCTTTCATCCTCCAGGAGATAGCCGGCATATTGAGGGCCTCCATGTTCTTGTTCTTCTGGTACTTGGTAGATGCAACGTAGGATGCCTTGACAGTTGACACCACGGTGTTCATCAGGTTCTTTGCGGCCTGAATAAGGGACATGGCGCTGTCCAGCTGAATACATGGAAGAGACGGGAGAAAAAGTTATTCCAAATATCCATCTGTTTTGAATTCATGTCGAGTGAAAGTAAACTCTTCCAGTCTTTCTAATGTCTTCCAGTATTGTGTGGTAAGTTTACCAAGGGATGAACCCAGACTTGTGTTTGTATCGAAGAATTAACGACCTTTCCGAGTTTGTCTGGCATAGAAACAGATATGAGAAATTTGAGAATATGGAAAAAGGTCACACTAATTTAATCTCCACAATTTAATAGCCTCAGAGACACTGGTGACACTTGACTGGAAGTGTTGGAAGCATGGGCTCATTTCAGCTCTACAGAAAGGAGGGAGGAATTCATTACATCCTGCACTCAGAAGCAACCTGTTTTAATTAATTTCACTGGCAACTAAGTGGTTAATTAATGTTTAAAAGGGTCTGTAAACAGTGGTCTGGCACAGTCTTATCTTAAGTAGTAAAAAGGTTAGGAAACATTTGCTCAACATTAGTGCTTTCTAGCACAGAGAAAGCCATTATTTCTGTTATCTGTTTATTTGATATAAAATATAAGCTGCAAATTACAGTGCAGAGAATGAATCATAAACTAATCACAAACAACAGTCAATACCAGTGAGTCTTGTATTTTTTTTTATTTGGGCAACACCAGATAATAAAACTTTATAAAGTAGCCAATGCATTGTATTGATTTAATTATCTTTGTAGCTAGGAATTAAAAGGTACCCTGTGGAGATTTCCTTGTAGACAGTTCTGTTTACATTCATTGTTTCTCACTAAAACACATTATGTGTATCCTTAAGGCAAAAGAACATTTCCTGCCTGACTTTACATGTTTACCCTGTCTTGTGAATGTTTTGAAACATGCATAGTTTGCGTCAGCGTTAGTTACTGTGGGGCCTTTGGCACAATGAAGACTGTAAAGTGTAGACAATGTGTCCAAGGTTAAAATGATGTTGAACTTACCCCGGAGACAACCAGCTCTCCTCCCAGGTTCTGCACCTCAGCCTTGACTTTGCTGCAGATGTTGAGCTGGTGGCAGTACAAGGCAATACGCTGCAGGTAGGCGAGCAGATCCTGCTTACAGGTAGAGTCGGGGCACTGCGAGAGAGAAGGACAACATGTGTCAACTAATGCTCACATCAGTTAGCATATAAGCAAAACTGGTTTGTGGTTATAACATTACCTGCTTGCAAGTTGAGCAATGAATCAATTTATGTCACTTATGTTATTTACTGGTACTTCTCAATCTGAATATTCATGTGATTCTACAGACGCAATGATTTCACACTTTATCAAGATGAGTTAGTAGCAGTGTGACAGGTAAGGTAGACACCCACATTAGGGACGTGCTCAGAGCCAAAATGACAAATGCACGCCTACAACCTGGTAGATTGATAACTCATCTTCACAGGGTTAAGTGTGATCAAGTCACACAGAATGCAAATTCTATTAAGAGGCAGACACTGCTGTCAGTCAATTACTTTTAGGCGGTGGTGATCTTGAGTGAAGTCTTATTGGAAACAAAAATACTTGATCTCAAGTGAACAGCCGCCCAGCATGTAGAAATGTTTTCAAAATTAAACTAAGTCATCATTCTAGCTGTATGTTATCTGGGTCCTTGCAAGAAAAAAAAGTTTGAGAACTCTTCATCCCAATAACCTGAACAATAACTTTAGGTGTGAATTAACTGCTCGGGGTTGGAAAAGAACTCAAACAGACAGAAATTCTATTCATTCTCAGAGGAAACATGCAATGGATGAGAGGATGTTTAAAATTTGAGACATATGTTCAATACAAACTTGGAAAAGCCTCTTGTTCTTGTTTCCAACTAAGCATTAACAATATTGTCAAAAGTCAGCTAGGAACACGTAACAAAATACATCGGGGCCATAAAGAAATCATGAACTATACGAAATCCAATAAATTACCATAAACCCCACATGAAAGTTGCAATATCTGAAAAGCCCCACAAATGCATCTCATTTAGCATTGGCAATCTTTTTGAATTATTTCATCTCATCATAATTAGACTCAGGTTTTACCTTGGAACACCATTTCCAGTTCCAGTTAAACAAGCACCCTGCCAGCATAGTAATTAGGCCACAGAATCTTCTTAGCTGCTCATCTAGTGAGAGATGTAAACATCCTGATGGGGCTCTGATGCTTTAAATCAGATAGTAGATGTCAGCAGACCTGACACACAAGCGGTATGTCAGCAATGATCATGACATGGTGAGTGGTTAAAGATAATCTAAGGCTGACAGCTTTTCACATCACCTACTAAACTAACTATACCAGTGAACAGCCCCGGGGTGACCATGTGAGCGAGCTAGCCACAAGAAAAAAACTGGCAAAAACAGCTGTATTTGCAGGTCTGAAGGAGGAGTCCTTTGGCAGCTGTTGATTCTGAGTGCAGGGAAAAGGTGAATGGGAGGTAAAAGCAGCCAATCTTTTAATTGATGGTATCTCTGCAGGAAGGAGCTGCAGGTCACTACTAAAGAAGAAGTGTTGCATGTGTCTAGACAAAATGAGGAAGTGTTTTGCCCAGCAATAAATGAGCAAATGACACAGAGTGGGCTTCGCTTAATAATGGCAATTATCACTATTTAAGTGAAGTTATCCACAGAAGGTGAGGAAATCCCCGTTTTTGGACACTTCAAACAGACTAGGACTTATGTGTCTAATCCTGCTGAGCGCGTCAGTATCCCTGGTGTGAGTGTAGAGAGCTCCACTGAATATAGCACCCTCACTCCCAGACATGTAGATGCATGCATCCATCACAACTGCCTCATTCATACACAGCATACATCAGAGAGATGGGGACACAAAAACAAAATAACTAAGTAAAATAAAAAAACTAACTAATAAAAGTCTATTCAACACATTCTTTTATCATACTTAATGAAACCCAGCCAATGGACATACATAAAAAGGTCACAAAAACTACTAAATCCATTACCATGATGTCTTTCCTTATTGAGAGCTCCATAGATGTCCTGAGACAATATGAATAAAAGTCTTCTCTATCACTACCATCCACTCTTGATTAATAGAAGGATGGGCTAAGTAGAGAGGAGGGAAATGTAAGAGTTGACATTCTATTAAAGAAAGGTATGCAAGATGAGATGAGGGGAAAGAGGGCTGGAGGGGATGATCATCATACAGGAGAGGACTTAATACATGGCTGAGAGATTGGAGAATATACAAGAGGGAGGAAGGTTAAAAAAAGAGACAAGAACCAGAGAAAAATAAGTAGTTGGCGAAAAGACTAGGATGAAGAGTGAGCCAGAGGGGGAACAGTATGGAGGAGTAAATAAGGGGGAGAAATCCAACTGGGGAATCGGGATGCAGACAGGAGGATTCAACTGTAGTTGGGGGTGGGGGTGTAAGTAAGAGATTGAGAGAGAGAGAGAGAGAGAGAGAGAGAGAGAGAGAGAGAGAGAGAGAGAGAGAGAGAGAGAGAGAGAGAGAGAGAGAGAGAGAGAGAGAGAGAGAGAGAGAGAGAGAGAGAGAGATCGTGTGTGTATGTGTGTTAGAGCAAAGACCTGGGATGAGGCTGAATGCAGCAGCCATGCTAATGAGGGCTTGGGGAAGTATTCAGACGGCTGAGAGCAGGGCACTGTGAAAGCATCACTTGTGCTCATACTCAGCTCAGCTGCTGGCTTCACTCAGCACTCAGGAAACTCTGCAAGGCTGCTCTGACTGTGACATGTGAATACATAAGTTGCACAGAGAAGAGACAAGAACACCTTGGATTGTTTTGGTAATGCAAATAGAAGCACTGTGTGCGATTAACTCAAGCAGTGTTCACAAGCTGATCAACGTTTCAGAAACTAAAGTACCACACAGACTACCTTCACTGTCCTATATTAATGCTTCCAGGAAGCAGATGTATCAGTAGGTAATTCACATTTCACCAGGAAACCTTAGGTCTCAGCTTTTAAACTTAATGGTATGAATTATTAATGGTGCAAATAACAAACAGGAAATGGGGCATATATAGTAGGTGTATTTGTTCAACTTATATGTTAATGTATCTGCAGGTTGTGCAAACATAACCCAGCAGTCATGTTGAAAATCACATCTAGCCTCACTGTTTAAACAATTCACTTCCATCTCACAAAACAAAATTTGCTCTAGTGTGAAAAAGAAAGGGATCATCACTCTTGTTCCCACTGAGTAATTCTCTCCTCTAATTGTGACTTCAACCATTAGAGCCAATCATTGTAATTTTTTTCTTCTTGTCTGAGTGCTTCTGTAAAATGTTCCTGATGACATAGCCTCTTGGTTTTTCCACATGCTGTGTGGCCAGTTATGGACTGGGACAGTTAACCTTGCTTGGTCAGCTACTATTGAAAGATGGCAAAGCAGAAGGAGGGCCACTAGAGATTTCATCACACAAGTCTGGATATCTTTTCAAGGCAAACTAATAGAAAAAGGTGAGTCACAATCTTTCAAAGGGAGCCAGCAGTACATGTAGAAATGTCAACAATTTTTGTGGAGTTGTTCTTGTCTTCTCACTGCTGCCTTTAAGTGCTGTCTCAGAAAAAAAAGGTGAAACATCAAAATTGGGTCAAGGGGTAGCGGATCGTTATTCTAATTTGCTAATTGAAGTGCTTTAGTAACAAAGCTTACAATACTTTTAGTATATTCCATATTCATGAGGGACTAACTTCATAAGTGTGTGGGTAGCTCTTCCTTTATTTTGCATTCCTTAGCATTTAAGCTGTTACTCTATACAAGGTTCATCATAGCTGTCTTTTTTTTCCCCTTGACAACACAACTCGCACAAAATAAGAAAAGGAAATGAGACTATAAGAATGACAGAGCAGGATGTTGAACAAAAGGATTTCACTGTGCTACGTGTTGGGTAATGTCCATGATATAAATGATGATCAGGAAGGTCAGGTCTCATCATTGGAAATGCCATGCAGTTCCACTGAATTCCATTATATGGAGTAGAGACAGAGGCAGAGCCACTGTGCTGCTGCCGCCCAGCAATGACCTTTCAGGACGTATCACCCAGAGGAAATGCCAATTTCCAATATTTACTGACACTGCAGCATTCTAATGTGTTGCTGGCGGTAACCTGTTGAGGAAAGCTACAGAGCGGTGTTTTCTGATACCTTTTGTTTTTCAGTCATGTGAAAATTGATGCTCCCACTGTCTCAGATCCAAGTAAGGTGATTTTGAGTGTTGCTTAGACTCTTCATTGGGGGGACTTTACTTATTGCTTCATCCTCTAGACTAAATTATATAAATTATATTTGAGTGTTTACAAATGCATAGGTTAGTTATTCGACATTCAAACTTTAATTAGGTATCACAAACAGCAGCAAGTCAGAAACGGTTTGAAATCTGAAATTCAAATTTTAATTAAACAGCAGCCAATCAGAAATGTCAAACAATAAGATAAGAAATTTTATTATTGTTCCAATGAAAGACAAGAGCTGCATGTGAAGGACTGAAGAAGGCTTGAATACTGCTCAACTGCTGTAAATATGTTGTTGGAAAGTAAGAAGCCTGGTCTTTTCCCTGAGAGCTGGTAATGCTGGGCATATTGGACCCACATACTGCCCCAGCCAGAGGTCTTGTATTCGGCCATGTCCGTCTGAAAGGGCTGATCCACCCAGAGGGGAACATCCAGGTTCAAGAGGTCCTCATGGCAGAATAAATTTAGCTAGTTGAAAGTTTAAACTTGTCTTGTTCGGTGTAAACTCGCCTTAAACAAAATGTTCCGCAAGAGTTCCTCAACGCACCCCTTTCCAAAATATTGCTTCTACCGCCACTGTTGAGGCACGCTACTCTAGACTTTGATCTGGTTATCGGACAGCCAGAGCTACAGCTAAACAGCTAAAAAGAATACGTTTTTATTTCCAAATGTATACGGATAACTATGCCTCAACCCTATAAATCATCCCATATCTGAAGTACTGACAGCCCAACTGACCTGCCAGAGTTAAAAGACAAGCTCAAACAAAAACAAAAACCTTGATTCAGGCGAGCTTCACTGTGTAGTGCTGGGGTTGGATTTTCATAGCTCAAAAGGGAAGAAAACAAATCCAAAACCGTAGACCAAGCCAGCGCATTTCACCATG